AGTGGGACTATCGAAACTGAAACTCTCTGCTGGCTGCTGATGAAGACTGAGCACATATGGGAATGTCCTGAGTGCCCTATGATATCAGTTCTTGATGCAGCTCATCACAACTCCAGGTAGTTGTAGCAAGGGGGAAGAAACTGTATCAGAAATTATTGATGGCACACAAGACAGAGGGGCAAGGAAGTGACCGGCGTGAAGATGGGCTCAGGATAAGTGACATCGCTGGTAGGAAAGTGCACTTGGGGGTGGGGGGTGGGGGGGGGGGGGGGGGGGGGTGGGAGCTGGCCAGAGACAAAAATGTCTTTCATGCAGATCATGGTTAGAGATGTTTTGCAAAGGACTTGCTACAAGATGATACAAGTCAGAAGGCGGTGGATAGACATGTGGACACAGCATAAAGTTTGAGAAGAAGAAAATGGTTACCTGTGGGTGAGGAAAATCACGAAACAACCAGCATGCTAGGAAAATATACAATGACATTTTAAAGTTATGTTATATAGTAGATTCCATGGAATAATAATTCATTCCAACAAAATAAATGTGAACACATTTGGTAATGATTGGCTAGCAAAGACATTAAAATCAACTGAAAATGTCATAATTTCAATATACATAATATATACATTGTGAAACAAATCTTAATATAGTTTTTAAGAAGCCTTAGAGTAAAGTTAAAAATTACAGTTAATACCATTAAGAAACAGAACAAATAGTAATTGCCCATTGTCCTTACTCAGAATACATTGGGTTTTCTCTGTATTTCATAATGTTTTTGTTTTCTATCGATTACAGACAGTTAGTTTTGAAAGTACGATTTGGTGCCATCTTTATTTATCACATTTTCTGGTGTCCATTGGAGGGGAAATTGGCCGCCTTGATGGTGCTTCAAACACTTGATCAATGGACCAGACGTACGTTTGCTATCCACTGTGCCAGATCAGTACCCATTTTGTTAATGGAATGATAGAAAAAGGTTACTGCTTGGAAAGTTCAGTTGACAAATAAAAGGAACAAATATGGATCAGGATTACTTATATGGGATTAAAATCCAGTTTTCTAGCTTATTAGTTATGTTGACGACTTGGATCCAAATGTTTGATCATGTATGTGTATGTTTTCTTTTGCTCAGTTTCCCAATTACATCCGGTTTATTTGATTTTCATTATGAGAAATAAAATATAATTACAAACATTGGTAATTGTGAAGCAAATATAATAGAAATATTGCTTGGAATGTTAATTAGGGAAAGCAAAGACAACTAAATCATTGTTAAAATGCTCTTTTTTACATGTATGTAATAGAACACAAGCGGTGCAATTGTAAAGCTCGATAATAACAAAACAATTGGAGGGGGGAATTGGCAGGGGGGGGGGGGTTGGCAGGGGATGTTCACTTTACAAACACTTTATCAAGAAAACAAACAGTGGTAACTGAAAAGTAAAGATAAAATATGAAAACTGTTTGCAGTAATCAATCAATGAACAAATATAACACAGAAAAAAATGGAATGAGCACAGGCAAACAAAGTTAATAAGAACAATGTTTGGAATGTTGGAAGCTGGTTTCAACAAATATAAATGCATACAAATAGTCGATTGTAATATTTTCAGTAAACTGTGTAAAGAAAAGCTAAAAAAGCATTACATAAATAAAGGCCACAAATGCTGGTATTTCGAGGTCTTGGTAACAATAACTAACACATCTGGTTATAACTGGCTGTTAGACGATAACAATAACAATTTACAACAGTGTTTTCCTGTTGTGAACATGAATAATGAGTACACACACATATATCATGTAATTTATTGCCTACATGTTTCGCTTATCTCCTCATGTTGGGCAATCTCGGATGATATAATTTCTTAGTATTCACTGACTGTAAACTCTGGCAGAAAGTTCTGGTTGTTTGTCCACTTCTGGACTGTGGTCTGTCCACTTCTGGACTTTGGTCTGTTTGCAGAACTTTAGTTTTGTGTGCACATCCATTTTCCAGGTCTGGTTTATTTAATATGCAGACTGTTGGTTTCTTGCCTCTTAGGCAATGTATTCCAACTTCAAAGAAAGATAATGTTTAATCTTAGTCTTACATGGTATGTTCTGACCAAATATTTAAACACACCAAAAACAACCTCTGGATCGTAGTCAGAGGACAAAGTCATTCACAGACCAGTCATACCTTGGAAGCGAAAGAGTTAATGGACCTGACGGGACACGGCAAAATGTGATAGGCAAGAAAATTGTAGTGCAATGTATTGTTTGTGTTCTTGTTATTTCAAATCAGAGAAGCAGCCGTAAGTAATAGTAGGAGTCTCACAACAAAAAATATGGACACTGGACACTTGTGGTGGTAGTTGGAAAGTCAAGGAGGTCAGACGACGTCCTGCCATATTTCCAGTTGTGGCAAATTTAACATTGAAGAGATAAAACATCATACACATTTTCTGATTAGGAATGAGAACAATAAACAGATAAAAATTACTTATGCTTTGAAACCCTATGGGGTTTTTAATTACATTATGTTTTTTTTTGTTTTTTTTTTGGTAGTTGCCACATGTCTATGTAACAACTTTGGTACTGGTTGCACTGCAAAATGTGAACACCTGGTGGGTAGGATCATATTTACAAACAAAATTTGGAAATATTATTTGGGGTAAAAAAGAAAAATGTATGTTTGTGGTTACTGTGATGTCATAATAAACTTATGATGATGTCACTGTGCACTCTGTGACTGGGAGAAGCCAACTCCTGTTTTTCTTTGTCAAAGGGAAGACAAGCAGTTATGTCTTTACTTCCTTCACTAACAAAACAAAAACCAAAAAACAAAACAAAAATCACATTTCACAAAATTACCACTCTAAATTATCAAATGTCCATCTTCTTAGCGACTTGAGTACAATGATGATGTAACAGCTGGGAGACTTGCCTGCCTGCTCAGTGGTCATAGGTTTCAAACCCCTGGATTTTTGTAAAAAATTTACGAAGACTCAAAATTTCTATCGCTTCTTCTCTTCGTCTAGTTTGTTAGTGTAGAGTTTCCAAGATTTATTATAGTGCATTTAATCTTTAATAAAACTGTGAAAAGGTCACTGTAAACAAATTTGTACCGGGGGGAAAAGTTAAAATGCATATATAATTCTTTATGTGAAATAGATATGTAGGCACCAGCCAGTCCTTAGGGACCATGGACTTGTACTGTTGGTTTTAGGAACAGCATCCACTATGACTGTAAAGTTAATCTAAATATATATATGAACAATATAACATAACATACCATAACCCTTGACCCTTTAGGGTCGTAAAGGTGTATTGATGGAAGCCCTAGCACATAAAACCCACCATCTTTCTCTGTCTTCTGCTTGATGAATAAATGTTTGATAAATTAGTCCTGTCCATTTCTTGATGTTGTCATTCCAGGTTCTTCTTTTCCCTCCTCTTCTTCGACTACCCCCTAGTGTTCCTGGAAGTACAGTCTTTGCAATTGAATCATGTTGCACCACATGCCCAAACAAAACTAGCTTGCGACATTTCACCACTGCCAAGAGAGGCTCCTGATGTCCCGCAAATTTGTATATTTTGTCTCTCACATATTTATTAGTTTTGTGTTCTAAATAACTAATTTGTAAAATGTGTCAGTAGCATTTACATTAAAAAGCCTGAATCCTCCTTTCCATTTTCACAGTGAGAGTCCAACTCTTATATCCGTATAAGGAAATAGAAAATACCAGTCATTTATAAATATTGACCTTGACTGCAATGCTGATTTTGCTCTTTTCAATGCTAGTGACTGAATAATAATGATTATAGAATAGGGTCATCAAGCTCATGTCTATATATGATATTGGTGTTACATTTTATTGGGGGTAAACAAAGCAGGCAGAGAGAGGGACCATGTTGTAGGGCATGAGAAAGAGATAAAAATACAAATCTCTATTTAAAAACCAAAAGGCACATTCTGTGTATGTGTGTGTAAACAGAAATCTACACAGGTCAGCGTTCTTGTGGCTTGTTATGAGGAAATCACAAAATCAGACGAATGCTAGGAATAAAGACAGTCTTACACGTTATCAAAGAACAAAAAAAAAAAGTGGTCTGGACACCTAACAAGAATGCCCTGGTACTATCCGCCACAGCGAGCCAGACTAAAACGCTACAACGGGTATAGAGCGAGTGGAAGACCTCGGAAAATATGGAGTGATGGCATTAAGAACAGCCTTACAGAAATTAACATCAGTCTTAATAGGGCTCTTGACAGAGCTCATCAACGAATGTTACATCTACCCCTGACACTTTGCTGAGTTACAAGGTGGAAGAGAAGAAGAAGTTTTTGAGGAAATTGAATTTTTAACGACTGTTCACCTGGTGGTTTGGTCATGTGGCATTATAGGCAAGAATGCAGGCTTGATCTGTGACTCTAGTGATCATGTGAGATGTGAACCATGTCCTTTAGCTATGGCCCACAATGATAATGGTGCATTCAAAATGAGAAAAACTAATTAGAAAAAAAAAACAATTTGAGTCAGATGACTACCACAAAGCTTGTGTTACAGACAATGTGCTGTGTTTTAAAATATCTAGCCAGATGTCCTCAGACCAAATGTAAAAGGTACTGTGTTCTGCCATGTATAAGGTGATATGTTTCCCCAATTTTTTTTTTCAAGTTTAAAATTTGAGGCCATCTGTTAGATGGAATGTGTTCACAATATTTGTGTCTTAACTCTTAGAGTCCCAAAGAACGCATCTTACGTTCATAAGTTCTTACCTTAAAGCCCAATGAACGTCAGCTGTGCCATTTGTACGACTCTCTGGATGACCCCTTGGGCCTGTGGTGTTAAACCTCCCGGGACTCAAAGAGTTAATTTTGTGCTAAAACATAGGGGTGATCTTATACATGGGGGCATCTTACACACAGAAAATATGGTAATTATAACATACAATTCATTTGTGGATAGACCTGGTCAATAGTACCGCTAGTCATGGCACATAATTCTGCAGCAGTGTTACAACTGAGTAGAAGCCGCAAGAGGGCCATCCTTGTCCTCTGCCATGTTGTCCGTTTTGGGCATAACAAAGTCCGCATCAAAGTGGCCCTCCCGGCTTGGTGTTTTCAGGACGCCATTTTTCTTCTGCACTTGCGGGGTACTTGTGGTGCTGAGCCGACTGCTGCTGTTGTTGTTTCGCTGTAGGTAAAACTGTTGCTTGCTGGGTCTGGCCCACATGGAGGATGGCTGGATCACGTAGCTGCGGAAGTCAGTCAGACATGGGTTGTTAAATATTGTGTGGGAATTATAAAACCAATGACAACTCATATTCTATAATGGTAAAAGATTGGGCACTCTGGCACCTCTAAGTAATTTTTTTTAGATTTTATCAGGAAAACCTGGGTGAGAAAAAAAGGCAGATAGTTTCTAAGGATCATGTGAAGTGTGATCCTATACCTAACTTTCTCGGATAGTCAAAACAAGGGAGATCCAGTGTGCAGTTTGTGCAGGTTAACTATCCTAAGACAGCTGGAAGTACATTTATTTAAAAAAAGTTTTGAATGTTGAATTAGGAACCGACATCACAGTGCTCGGGACACTCCAATAAGCGCCCCGTCCCTCATCTTCAACAGCAAGTGAAGGGTTCCAATTCCGATAGCACCAGTCACTGTCTGATTGTATATTTATCTCGCCCTTCCCTTGAGTGTTGAGTGTCGGTCAGATACCCTAGTCACTCCTCGCAGTGACATTCTCTTCAGACCATAATCATCCATTTGAGCTTTCACAATATTCACTCGCACCCAAAAGGCCCTCACAACATCTAGCTTGTTATACATACATCAGTTCACCACCAAGGGGTGAGAACTGGCCAGTCTGCCTGCTCGTTTCCCAACACACCAGTATAGAACTAGAGAAAATATTCAAAGGACGCCAAATACCCAGCACCTCTGAAGCAATGCTTGCCAACAGAGCATGCTTGTTTCAACCTTTCTCAACATGCTCTGCAAGTCAGTTACAATTATGATATGTGTGTTCAGCTGATTCTCAAGCCAGCAGAAGACAGCAGTGACTGCCTCCACCTTCATGCTCAAATAATACTTTATGGTACCATCTGCCAGGCTTTGTTGCACTAAGCGATGTCCATTCACTTTTGATACACACTCCAATACACTTCGTCTACCTCTCAACTAAGAGCCACCTGTAGAGATAATCACATGATCTGGGCAGCAATTGTCATGAATCATTTGTTGAACTTCAGAACATTATAAATGATTTGTGTTCATGTAAACAGGCCTATACTCACATGATATCTGCCTATACTCACATGATATCAGCCTATACTCACATGATATCCGCCTATACTCACATGATATCAACTTATACTCACATGATATCAACCTATACTCACATGATATCTGCCTATACTCACATGATATCTGCCTATACTCACATGATATCAGCCTATACTCACATGATATCAACCTATACTCACATGATATCAACCTATACTCACATGATATCAGCCTATACTCACATGATATCAACCTATACTCACATGATATCAACCTATACTCACATGATATCAACCTATACTCACATGATATCTGCCTATACTCACATGATATCTGCCTATACTCACATGATATCTGCCTATACTCACATGATATCAACCTATACTCACATGATATCTGCCTATACTCACATGATATCAACCTATACTCACATGATATCAACCTATACTCACATGATATCAACCTATACTCACATGATATCAGCCTATACTCACATGATATCAACCTATACTCACATGATATCAACCTATACTCACATGATATCTGCCTATACTCACATGATATCTGCCTATACTCACATGATATCCGCCTATACTCACATGATATCAACCTATACTCACATGATATCAACCTATACTCACATGATATCTGCCTATACTCACATGATATCTCCAATCCTCAGTTTCTCAGATGGTGAAGGATTGGTGATGACGTAAGACAGGATATTTCGTCTTCGTTTTACTTCACCTGTGATAGAAAGGAACAACACATTAACATTTGACTCAGTCTGCTCATATCAAGAGCTTTTTTGTTTTCCTTCATCCTCTTCCCATTATCACATTGTTATCATATATTCTGTCTTATCTTGACCGATAACTAGTCCCATTTTGCAAGCTGCTTCTTTTAAGAGAGTCAGTGTCTCTGACATATTTCATACTCCATTTCATATTGTTTTAAATATAATAATATTATGTATCTTTGTCATTCAGCACAGAATAGTAATAATAATATTGACAATAATAATAAAAGCATTTTATTATGCACTGAAATAAGGCTTGGCACCTCTCCTTCCTCATTATAAAAATGGTAAGGGTGTTGATGGCTCAATACCCCCCCCCCCCCGATGTTTTCTTTACATTTAGGCTATATCCCTGACCATGTCCTCTGTCAGATGTCACAAATGTGTCACTATACATCCCATCTGTTAAATGTCGGATACTTGTCGCTAGACTTATCGCTTATCAGATGTAACATTTTTGTCATCATACATTCCCATCTGCCACATGTAATCTGGCTTACTGTAATCCCCCTGCGTCATCTCCAGTGTCTGCAGCCGGCTCCGTATCAAGCTGCCCAGGTCCACGGTATTTGACTTGCAAACGGCAGAAAATCTCCGCCCGTTGAACAGTGAGTTGGACTTGGGTCTGGCGTGTCTGTTGTACTTCGGGGGTTTGGGCTTCTGCTGGAAGATAAATGATTCTTTCTTTCAAAATGCAAGTTAGGATGTCATCGTTAGGATGTCATCGTTAGGGTGGCATCATAGTAGCAGTAATAAAACAAAAACCGATTCAAAACATTTGGTTTATTTTGGGGATATACATACTTTTTGTTTGTTCTTTTTCTAGTATTAAGTATTTGTTCTTGTCAAAAACTTTTGGTTATTTAAATTGCATAGATTATGTACAAAAGGGAGACAATAAGTAAGTCACAAATGGTCGTTAAAAAAAAAAAATTAGGCGATTACAACTTGAAAACCAGGGTGAAAAAATATAATTTCCACCAATATTGGTGTACTTGTCCCACTGTTTTATCAGTCCTCCCAAATCTCCTGCATGGAAGTGCTCTAAACAACATTTTTACTTCACATTCAACTTCTGCATCATTCGCGAAATGTCTCCCGCCACGTTCGGTTCTTGGTGGATCAAACCGGTGGAAATCGCTAAGGGCTAAGTCGGGGCTATAAGGTGGATGTTCCAAAAGTTCCCACTGAAAACCCACCTTGGCGGGAGACATTTTGCACATGATGCAAAAGTTAAATGTGAAGTGAAAATGTGGTTTAGAAAACAGAGCATGCAGTTCTATGGGTTGTGAGGACTGATAAAATGAGACAAGTGCATCAATGTTGGTGGAAATTGTGTTAAAAAATAAATAGACAGTGTGTGTAAAAATAAACAGTTTTCAATTTCTCTTTAGTGTTTTTTCAACAAGCATTTTTGACTTACTTATTGATTTTCCCTCGCATTAATTGTACATATTGTTGGCGAAGAGATTTTTAAATTTTATATATATTTATATAAATCTTTAAATAATTATGATAATAATGTTGTGTAATCTATCTTTCGCAATATGTAAAGTGATCTGGGATATCATTATTCTGTCTTATGATATATGAAAACCTTAATGGCATCATGGGAACTGTTGTGGTGGGCTGCTGGTTCGCAAATTCAGAAGGTCATGGGTTTAAATCCGATCAGAGCTAGCCTTTTTTTTTCTGTTCCAAAGACCTTGGCTCTCAGGTCGACCCAAGTTTAAATGGATACCGGGTAAAGTCCTGGGAAGTAAAGTTACCAGTGCGATGCAGACCTCAAACCCACTGAGGGTCGATTGGTCTATAATATATAGGTCAACATTGTATGCCCAATACGCCTTAAGTCTCGGAAAAGGGTCCTGACCCAGTTCATTTTATTTCCACTCAAGGTTTTACTGATCGTACATTCCCTCCCTTGTGGCATGTGTTCTAGTTTTGATGAAAAGCACCTGGATGAGTCACTTTGAGTAGAATATTTGTACTTGGACTTGTCTGACTTGGGTAAACCTTTGAATCCCGGGGTCCGTGTTCCTACCACAATGTGACTGGGGCTTCCCTGGTAAAGTGGTCAAGCAGTTTGCTTCTGCACCGAAGGTCGTAGTTTCCTTTCTGGACACCGCCGCTTGGTTAGCGAGTACAGATTTTAGGAATATGTCTAGGGGTTGTCCATGGAGCTATTGAGTTGTGCGCCTCGTGCAATGCTCCCTTTTGGAGTTGATGGAGTGGGAGCCATTTAATATAAAACCTGGTGCAATGGAGTTGAGTTTCTAGCCCTTCAATACCCCTTCCTCTTTGTCTTCCCTCCGGGGGTTGTATTTACATGACTATTGTAGCAGAAGTCTTCTTCTTCTTCTTCGCGTTCACCAGCTGTAAACTCTGGCGGAAGGTTCTGGTTGCTCGTCTACTACTGAACTGCAGTCCTGCTCCAGAACCTGAGTGTTGCGTGTGCATCAGTTTTACAGATCTCATTCTCTTGAATACAGACTGTTGGTTCCTTGCCTCTCCGGCAGACGCACCCCGTCTTCAAAGGAAGCTCCCCAATTAGTTGACTCTTACAACATGCTTTTGGGGAGGCAGTGGGTCTATTCTTGTTTTCCCCACAATGGGGCCCCGGAACCCACAGCAGAAGTGAATGGGTCAGACGAAGTATAGCCTGCAAATGGTGGGTGTTGGGGGAGGGGGATAGCACAGAGAATGATCAGTTTTTAAACTTAGCAAGCACACTGGCCATTATGGTTGAGGATGGACACGCTTGCTTGCAGCACCTGTAACAACCATGCCATGCTAGAGAATGAACTGACTCACCTTTTCAGGGAGATCAAAAAGACTTTCCCCTCCAAAAATACGCGCGATGATATCCTTGTTTTCCTCTTTAGCCAACCGCTCTGTTCTGTAAATAGCAAAGGGGATTTCCCCAGTGCTGGATGACAGCCAATCATAAATGACCCCATATTCCTGGAACCTTTGTATGGTGGCCTTTTTCACACGAATCTGGAAAACAAGAAGAGACATTACAACTAAGTTGATTCTGAATTGCCTTTGTTCGGAAAATTATTGTACAGGACGAATTCGTAGGCGTTTTGTTATTAAATTTTTTTAAAACAACTGCGAGATTGTTTGTTGTGAAAATCATAATGCTTGATTGATTGGCACCTTTCCTTCTTTCCAAACGATAGTATAAAATTGCGCTAAGAGAAGGCATAGAGCTCACAGCCAGTGGCCATGGCAACCTCCCCATATCACAAAGCCTGGGAAGTATTGTAGAGACCATATGTTGCCCACACATCATGATCCCTCTCTCGACCTGCCTTGTTTTCTCCAAAGGAAAGGTAACACCAGTGTGTTAGGAACAAGGCAGACTGCAAAAGCTGCCAGATCAGAAAAGCAGTGCTCTATCTGTCCGCCTGTCGGAGCTTTCCTCCTAGACCAGCTGCCAGCCAAAGCGAAGGGCCTGGTCTGCCCTGTCATAACACAAAGATTTCAGGTTGCATTTTCTCTTCCTAGGATAAGGCTAGTATCCTCCCCAATGGGCTCCTCCGCCCGAAGCCGTTGGCACAATATGGGATGTTGGGTTTGGTATACGCCGCCCAACATTCGGCTTACAGAAGACAGGTGATACCGGCTACTGTTATACGGTAGCTCAATCATATCTGACCAAGACCTGACAATTCTAATAACGAAAATTATAAGTACATAAACCACACACACACTCACACATACACAAACTACTACAACGATAAGTACATAAACTGGACACATGATGGCTCCAATGACAATAATTTACTCTGGGACAAACAGTTACAAGATATGTAAACCTAATGGATGACCATCACCGTGCTGAACACTTACAAATGACTACTACAACCAATACTTACACTAGACAAATGGCCAGAACCTTGCTCAGAGTCGATGCCCAACAACAGCCGGACAAAACTGATTAGGTAGCCTTTGGTAAATGTCTGGAAATAATAGTTACATACATTCTAAATGTTATTGGTGATACTATCACTATCTGAGCTCAGTGACTTGTGAAGTCAACTGTAATGGATCAACAGCAAGCCTCAGGATCCATCTTTACTTCCTGTTTTCCCTTGTCCATTTTTTATCCTTCTTCTTCTTTTTCTTCTTCTTCTGCTTCCTTCTTTTTCTTCTTGTCCTCCTTCTTCTTCCTCCTCCTGCTTCTTTTTCTTCTTCTTCGTCTTCCTCTTTTTCTTCTTCACATAAGCAAATCAAGTTAATCTAAACAGACACAACAAAATAGAAAGAAATCTATTTTTTATTACACAGAGATGAGAAAGAAAATTGCAGTATAATGGTACCTTGTATTTCTAACGCTTTATAACTCGAACATAATTAAACCTTAATAAAATGTCTAAGTACATTTTTCCGCGGAACTCGAACGCCGCCTTGGAAACATAACGCATAACACGTGCCTATCACATGACTAAGCTGACAAAGCAGATCTTCAGCACTAGAAAGAAGAAATGACAGAAGCATTTTTTTTCTCCATGGGGGAAGACAGGGAAGCTGGAAGGATTAATACGGCTGAAATCCAAGATCTTTTGACCATTTGGTCGAACGTCTGGTCAAACACGCAAGAAGTTGTTGAGAGGTGGCACCCTGATAGAGCCCTAGTTAACAGGTGTGTTAACATATTCAATGATACCGTTCCCGAACATTTTAGAAAATAAAAGATAGTCGCCAAACCAGAGCACTGTCAACAAAAACTGTCTACAAGTTGTGAACGACCAGAAAGGATTCCTTATGTTTTCATGGAAAGTGACTCACTTTCCAGACAATAACCTTCCTGAATCCCTACTCCACTCCCTCCTTCTATGTGCCATGTCATCAGTTGTATCAAGGTACAACAAATATAATGTGTTTTTTGTTTTGTTTTATGTATTCATTTATTTATGTTTACAATCAAATTTAATAATCAAGTGTTACTGTATTTATTCACAGTGTACCGTGTTTATGAAAATAGTTTTAAATCTAAGTTTGTTGGATCCTGGAATATATTAGTTTAGTTTCCCTTTTTTTTCAGCGGGGAAAATTGCCTTGGACCTACAATGATTTGGAATTCGAAAGCCGTCTCGGAACAGTTAATGCTCAAATTCCGAAGTACCACTGTAACCTAAAACACAGAGACAACAAGAAGGTGTAAAGCCAAACTGTTCACACAGCAGAGAAACGCAACTCTATAGCCTACCTGGTAGAGTAGTGTGTCCAACATGTTGGCTGAAAACACCTGGCCGGCAGCAAATGGAAGACAGAAGATTTCTTTCATAGAAGATGTGGTCGAGTCTCTCAGCTGTGCAGGAAGACAGGTAAAACAGGAAGAAGTGTGAATTGTCAAAATATTAAATGTTCATAAACAACACTTGTCTGTTTGTTATCATCAGGTCACCATGTGAAAATCACACCACCCTGCCACTGAACTTCAAAGTTTTTCATCATCGATGGCAGCCCTAAAAGGCTATCCCAGAAATCCTGGTCAACTCATAAGGACGTTATAACTGGGGTGCCTTGTTGGGGTGTATCGAATCGTTTAGGTCTCTGGCCATTCCTCAGACGTACTCTTCGTTTACTTGTCTGATGATAACACTTGCTGGTACAAACTAGTCATCGTCTGAATTTTGGAAAGTGCTTGAGAAAGGCTCGGTTTCCTGAGATTCGTAGGTCGCCTCGGGTTCTGTCTGCGCTTCTAGTCTGGCTTCCCTTGCTGTGCGTCAAAACGTAGTACCCGCAGTTCAAATCTGGCAAATTTGGTTCCACTAAAAATAGTGCGTCCCCTTGTTTGATGGGGAAAAGAAGAATTGACCCACACCCCTCAACAAGCATGCCATAAAGAGCAACTAATTAGGAGTGTTTCCTTCTAAATCAGAGTACATCTGCCTGAGAGGCGAGGAATCAAAATTCTGTATTCAGATAAGTCAGATCTATAAAACCGAGGTGTAGGCAAAACTCACGTTATGGATCAAGAAAACAAAATCCTGAAACGGGCGAACATCTAGAATGTTCTGCCGGAGTTTACATCCAGCGAATGCCGAGAAGAAGACGATATTTCTGTGTGGATGACCTGTCATGTAATAAACAGAATTAAGTCTGGAAAACTGACAAATCTGACCCCATCAAAAGTGTTACAAAATATCCTGACACCATCACAGTCATATACAACAGACCAGGTAACACATCACTGGTGCTGTAGATATAACACATCACTGGTGCTGTAGATATAACACATCACTGGTGCTGTAGATATAACACATCACTGGTGCTGTAGATATAACACATCACTGGTGCTGTAGATATAACACATCACTGGTGCTGTAGATATAACACATCACTGGTGCTGTAGATATAACACATCACTGGTGCTGTAGATATAACACATCACTGTTGCTGATGTGTATATAACACATCAATAGTGCTGTAGATATAACACATCAATGGTGCTGTAGATATGACACATCACTGGTGCTGTAGATATACTGTCTTCTTCACCAGTCTCAAATAACGCCACTATCATGCAACCATCATCCTTATTATCACTTCTTTCTCATTAAGATAAACATGTATAATATTAGTTTAGGTTTAAACAATTGATTAACATCATGGCACAAGGGTATTAACCCATAAGTGCTCCGTTCTACTTCTAACTCAAGTCTAAGTCCAAAGAATCACAGAGCAGTGCAGGAACTCCGTAGCCCCCGCGCAAGATCGTGAAATACTTTGGGTAGCTTTTTAACTCCAAGTTTTGCCCGGGCTACTCTTTTCTGTTTCTAACTGCAAAGGGACTTTTTACGCTCTCAACAATACACGCGGGCGTCCTATTTTACCACCTAGAGACAGGGGAAATTACTAGAAGTCCACGTGAAAAAATCCCAGCCGTCACGGGGGCCTGAACCCGTGTCCTCCAGCATTCGAGGCGGACGCCATGCCTCAAGACCACACAGCCTTCCAGAAACGCGTGAGCTTGGCAATGCGAGACACCACTGATATACAGTGACCAGGATAATATTAGTGTAATAGGCTGGTATTGATAGGTTGTTAGCCTGTTAATAATTCTGGATTGACTGCACTTGGCGAACTCGAACTGGCAGGTTTCCAGATCAGAACTCTCCGGAGGTGCCCAGCGAGCCACAATGTTTTGTAAAAGTTACAAAAGACCCCAGACTTTAAAAAACGCTTTTTTTTACCCCTAAGCTAGATAGATAGAGAAAACGCTTTCTTTGGCTCTTTGGGTATGCAGCGGTGAGACGAGAAACATGTAGTCCTGCCTTTTCGTTGCGAAACCGTGCAAGATTCAAGAGATGGATTGGCTCACTGATTTCGTGCTGTGGTGGTACGTTTAGTAGATAGATTCTGTTATAAAGGATTGCCTTCAACTGTAAATGGTTCAAAGCTGCAACTGGCCTCGTCACTAACTATATTTGTCAAATTTTTAGCACATACAGTGGTACATTTGCCATCACCATGGGAAGTGATTCCCAAGGCTCTCTATAGCACCATGTAATAATAAAGATGGCATAGATAATTGTGTTACATCCTGATAGACAAGGAAGTTGTTGATGGAGAGACTTGGCTTCTGCCAGTTGTAAATTTGATGTGTTTATGGGGATACTGTTGATGCTGATGACGAGTGTAATGATATTGGTGATTCAACAAATGAAGCTAGACAACCCTACCTGTTTCTGCGAGTGAGTCAAGGACGCCGAGAACCTCATAAATCTCATGTTGGCAGTTTGGCTCAGGGCTGTGAGAACGTACGTGTTCGGGAACAACCTGGCAGGGCGAATAGAAATCAACAATAAAGGCTGGCTTAAATGGATCTAAAGCATACTCTACAGTCAGCCCTAAATTTTCTCTAGTAGTTAAACTGTGTGGGTAGATAGGTCAGTATGTATCGTCGCTTCTAGATATTTGATTTTATGTTAATTTGTATCTGTGCTAGATGAGGTGCTCAGAACCTGCGTTTGTGTAAAAGCGATATTAATTGTTAATGTAAAGTTATCTGTGAAGCGTTCAGTTTTGTGATTCAGTAAAATGAACACATGTTCAATGTGATAATTATAGTTCCAGTTGTTTTGATTAGATTTAGGACTGGCATTTAGTGATGTCTAGTTTTACTTGTACTGCTGGTTAGACTTTATACAAAATATATCATGTCTGGGCTAGGACGTTTGGTTCTAGTCCCCGCCTAACAAACTCTTGTTCTTTATTTTTCTTATTACTGAGGCAGCTTGAGTTGGGTTGTATCTACATAGGCCACGACATGCTTAAAACTATTTTACTGTAGGTTTGGAGTCGAGATAGATGTTCAAGGTGTAGATTTATCTCTTATCTTTTTTTTTAATTCTCCCCCTTTTCTCTTTATCAACATTCCCTTTAGGTTTTGCTTATGGTACAGAATGTAGACTGCCTCTTTTTGCTGTTAAGAATGTAAGTTGCCTCTTTATTCAGCCCTTTTCAAAGTCAGTTTCTTACAAGACATCTTCATTACATACATACATTATTCTGTTTCTTGTTCGTAGATACTTACCTGGAGATCGTCTGCACTGCAATCACTGTCTCAGAATCTTCCAGAAACTCCTCCCCTTCAGTGCTGACCTCGGGGTCACGGTTGACGATGACAAGATGACTAGCTTTGTTAATCCCAGCCACCAGGAGATCGTCGATGCTGTAACAATTACAACATTAATAGATATCAAACTAAACCAAAAGTAGATCCAGTCAGCTTTACGATATCCTAAACACAAACCATAAATGAACGTGTCGGTTAGAGAGTCTTCATCAGCAAGTTATATAAATTTACAATACAGCAAATAAGAACAAGAATGCACAAGACCACTTAAATGACTGAATCTCCCACAGAAATCACATTTCTGTCTGCCCAGTAGAATATCTTAAACGTGTGTGACCACCGGAAATAAATATATATAAAACCAATGACAGTAACATAAATATGTGTTGATATGTTAAAATTCTGCAGAAAATACAGGTATAATTACAGGGTCAGATCTGTAGCTTAGGGGTCGACACACCCGATAGTAGTCATGAGGCAGTCAATCAATATCATTTTTTCTTGGAAAAGGGGGTGGGGGGGGAGAGATATTTTTTTAAAAACAACTGAAATAGGTCATCTGCCGGTTCGCGTGAGGATCGGGTCATGTGATCCGGGCTCAAAGGTTAGATAAAGTTCATGTGTGGTTGTGGCTATGTGTCCGTGAGTGGGTGGGACGGGCAGAGCAGAGGATCCAGGCGTTTTAGGGGTGGCGATGAGCGGAGGCGGGCAGTACAAGGTCTGTTTTGGGGGTTATATAGTAGAATAAAGAAAACTAGGGGCAATAATTGGCGGAGGAGGGGCATAGAAAGTATATGTGTTATAAGTAGAAAAGGTAAAGGGATAAAATAGAGTGATATGACACTAGACTTATATAAGGTATATAGTAAACTAGAAGAACCGAGGGACATTGATTGGTTCCGTTGAGGGGTATAGTATATAGGTTACGTAGTGAAATATGTACAACTGAATATATGAGTGGGTGTCAGCTAGAGCTCGGGTGGTAGTTTGTGGTCAAACAACATTATAGTCATCAGCAAGTGCCATGCCGACAGGCAAGAGCGATTACGTTTCTCCAAGGTCTGTTGTGGTGTCAGTTGTTTGCTGATGAACTATGGTTATGGTTGTATACAACTAGGCGGCGATAGGCGGTCATCTAAAACTTGCTGTAGGGGTCAAGGATCATCAGGACCTCCTAGGCATAGGGTGAAATGACTTTGTATACAGTACAAATGAAAAATAATGGCAAAATGGTGGGTGTCATATCATAGTGTTATGTGCTGGACGCTGAGTGAGGGTATAGGCTGTTGTGTCAGTTAGTTACATGAGAGTTTTAGGGGTGTTCGTGCTACCGAGGCACAAGGTGCTATGGCATAATACAGAACAAAATGGGGAAAAATATGGCAAAGGAGTGGATGTCATGTCATAGTGTTACAAAAACAATAGTTGTGACCAACCTTTTAATAGAGCCAACCATGTAATAGACCAGCGGGAAGTGTGCCAGTGACTCCAGGAACAAAGTGTCCGGTCTGTGACAAGGTGAAAGCAGACATTAAAACCATACAGATACAAATCTCTCCCCCTCCTCTCTCTCTCTCTCTCTCTCTCTTTCTCTCTCTCTCTCTCTCTCTCTCTCTCTCTCTCTCTCTCTCTCTGTCTCTTTCTTTCTCCCCATTCCCTCTATCTTTGCGCCTCACCCTGGCATCCTCTCTCTTCTTTTAATTCTTTGTTTATTCCCCCTCTCTCGGTTTATTGTTTTTGATCATTATTTGTTACTTTGCTCTCTGTCTCTCTCTCTCTCTCTCTCTCTCTCTCTCTCTCTCTCTCTCTCTCTCTCTCTTTCTTTCTCTCTGCATTTTCTGTCCCCCTTGTCCTGTCCACTCCCCCGCCAACTCTCTCATAGGTATGTGTACGCAAGCGTGAAATAAGTAGGTAGAAGTAAATTTGAGGATGGACTGCGTGGGCGAGGGAGGACGAGTAGATATTGGGAGAAATGACAAAGGCTAAAAATAAACAGAAAGTAATATTACAATAAAACAATGACAGGCATTTTGGACACGTCGAAGGCCATGGTTGTCTAGAGAGAACAGTGGTGGAGGGTACAGTCTTCGAAAGGCGAGGCAGAGGCCGACCACTGCGAAGGTGGATACGAGACATTGAAGATGCACTGGTTATGAGAATACACAGGCCAGGAGAATCATCATCATCATCATCATAAACCATTTTTGTCGTTAAGCGTTGTAGGGAGAAATGATTGGAGAATCAGCTAGGGAAAGAAAGACTTTCAGGCAAGGGCGTGAAGAGAGCGACGTTCTTCAAACGACATTCTGCTTGACTGACTAAAAAAAAAATAATAATAATAAATGCTATGCTGTAGAGATGGTTGCTACTCACTGTTCCTCAAGTAGAAGAATGATTGGACTGAGGCCGTTGACCCCTATAGCAGACGACCTGAGAGGAACGATGAAGTTGAACATGCCGGAGCTAGCGTGTTCGGCCACCAGAATAATCAACTGGTTGTCCCATCTCTGGTCATTGGCGTTCTTGTAGGTGCAGTGCGTGCAGCTCTGAAACAGAGGATGTCCGGACAGTGTTTGTAGAAACCTTCTCAACGAGCTCACCACAACCAACCTCCCCTTCCTGTTCAGAATTTCTAATTGGCTAACGAGTGATATTTAACCCACTAGGATCGCACAACGAGCGATAAACACCCGGTGACACAAAGTGCCACTATTTCAGATGAGAATCACCCGGGGACAAGTCCCATAAACCCCGTTCAACCGTTAGGTTATATTAGGACCCCTGACAACTTTCGGGGTGGGGGCTTTAAAATGAAAACAAATTGCGTCCCCTGCTGGCGCGAGGTTATTATTTGGCTAGCAGCTCCCCTCTCCACCCCACCCAACACCCACTTATAGAAACTCTCGTTTTAATTATATATTATTATTTCAAACATATTATAATATTATTTGCCATTCGCCACATTATTATTATTAAGCACTTAAATAAAGCTTTGGGGTAATTAAATCAAGAATTTGGTGCCTCTTAAAAAGCCCACTCCCATCCCCCAACGACACAACCACAGCCCACTCCCATCCCCCAACGACACAACCCTAGCCCACTCCCATCCCCCAACGACACAACCCCAGCTCACTCCCATCCCCCAACGACACAACCCTAGCTCATTTCCATCCCTCACCGACACAACCCCAGCTCACTACCATCCCCCAACGACACAACCCCAGCCCACTCCCATCCCCCAACGACACAACTCTAGCCCACTCCCATCCCCCAACGACACAACCCTAGCCCACTCCCATCCCCCAACGACACAACCCCAGCCCACTCCCATCCCTCAACGACACAATCCCAGCCCACTTCCATCCCTCAACGACACAACCCCAGCTCACTCCCATCCCCCAACGACACAACCCCAGCCCACTTCCATCCCTCAACGACACAACCCCAGCTCACTCCCATCCCCCAACGACACAACCCCAGCCCACTTCCATCCCTCAACGACACAACCCCAGCCCACTTCCATCCCTCAACGACACAACCCCAGCCCACTTCCATCCCTCAACGACACAACCCCAGCCCACTTCCATCCCTCAACGACACAACCCCAGCCCACTTCCATCCCTCAACGACACAACCCCAGCCCACTTCCATCCCTCAACGACACAACCCCAGCCCACTTCCATCCCTCAACGACACAATCCCAGCCCACTTCCATCCCTCAACGACACAATCCCAGCCCACTTCCATCCCTCAACGACACAATCCCAGCCCACTCCCATCCCCCAACGACACAACCCCAGCCCACTCCCATCCCCCAACGACACAATCTCCGAGATAATTGTTAAGGAGTTGGGCCCCTCTCCCAATATTTTTTATTTACTTTTAAATTTTTGGTTGCTGCCCCTAGTTTTCATTCATATTAACTTTTGTTACTCGACATGAGATTATGAGAAATTTGCCAAACTTCCCTCATATCGCCCTCCAGTAATTGGGACAGTAAGTCTAAATTAAGCACCATATATGCGCGAATTCCAAGTTGGATGTTAGTGGTGGCAGTATAAAGGCTAGCAGACATGCTTGCCCCCATGATGTTCTGTGGGCGAATCTTCCAGAGGCGGGAATTTTGAGTGAGTTAATAAGTTGAACCCCTTTAGTACTTCATACTGTTCAATTACCATATGGCGGCTCAATGAGCGACTTTTCAGATGAGAATCCTTCAGGTTTAACTCACAGAAACCTTGTTCAACCTCAGGACGTAGTTTTACTGACCCAATCATTACGAAATAAAATGGAGTCCGGCTGGTCAGGTGTCGGGCGAACAAAATCCAACCTGG